TCAATTTGACAATAATGAATCGAATCATTTGAGTCACTTGCGAGGGGAACACTTTCAATATAACAAGGAGAGTATTTGTTCTCTTAACACTCACATGATGATTATCAAGTAGTAAATAGGTCTAGTAGCAAATTGCAAATTCCCTTTAGCCAGACTTAGACCTAGGAAAGTTGAATAAAATAGGCCAATGATTGAACTTCGCCTACCGATCAAGATCCTCTTTACTTATAACAAGGTTCACCATTTTTGTGCTTATAATGAGAGAATATTGGTGAGGGATTTAGACCCACTCAAGATCATATTCATCAATTGTGAGGGAATGGTTGTTAAGAGGTTTCTTTAGAGAAGGCCTTTTGTAGGAAGTGAAAACAACTTGTTTAAATATCAACGACCCTCACACGATCATTCCAATTTCATTAATAGTCTAGTGATTTTATTTTTTTTGCTTTTAGACTCTCTATCTTCCAATAAAAGGTGTTATTCATATGTGGGATCTTACTTTATATGAATTGAACTAAATGCCCTTGTCGAATTAACCTTTCGATCTCTTCTTTAAGGAAACATGATTCAGTATTATAATCATGACTTCGATGGAAGTAACAATACTAGTCTCGAGTCCATGCATTTGGTCTTTAACAAATGTGACCACTTATGATTTTTCATATCTTGAATTGTCATTAAGATGTTAGCACGGGATATTTTACGTGTGTGTACTTATTCTCTGATTGTGATTCACATTTTTTACCATCAAGGGGGCAAACCATAGTTTCCCCGTGGCTCATACTTCTTTATTTGAGATGCTTCAGCAATATCAGTGAAGTTTTTCTTATGTTTTCTTGTGTGCAGCTCAATTTATTTTACACGTGTATTATTAGCTTCATCAACTATAATTTGTTCCTCAACATGATGGATGAGGGCAGCATACGAACAAACTGTCTCTCACATCAAATATGAGTAAAAAGGACTCAGACACGATCCCCCCAAAAAAACACATCTCAATAATTTTAGATCTACTTCTCGGATTTAACGAGCTTCAATCGAGAACCTTAAGAAATAGTCCTTTAATGAATCCCCATCACTTTGGTGAATTCCAGAAATGTGAGAGGAATATTTGATAATCATTAATTTGCAATAGATTGCTCCACAAACAATTTTGCAAGTTCATCGAATCTATAAATGAATCCCCTTGAGACTGAATCAAATTAAGGGCGTGCTTAGCCTTTAAGAGTGGCATGAAACGCTTGATTCATCAAAAGCTTGTTTTATGTGCTTGATAATTTTATATTGACCAATGTGTTCATACAGGTCAGATGTCCCATCATAAGAGTCAACACTTGAAGCATAAACACTGTTGAAATAGAGTGTTGAAAGACTATCTTAGCCAATGAAGATGACTCTTGAGAATCACACCGAGCATAAAAAAA